GGGGGGGGGGGGAGAGGGTGTGTTGATGTAATGCATCGTGTGTTGGTGTGTGTTGGTGTGTGTGGTCAGTTCCTACCCTGGTGTGTATACGGATAAGGCTAAGGCTGAGAAGCGCCTGTACAAGACGCCTGACGAGGCCGCCGTCGCATACGATCTCTCGCTCATGGTGGGTGGGTGGGTGAGGGATGGGCCACACACAGCACACCATACCACAACACGTGCACCCTCTCCTCGATTCCCCTGTGTGTGTTCCATCCATCCATTGGTCATCAGGCTGCCACGTGTGCCGACCTGACTCAGTGCCCCACCCCCGCCCCCCTGACCCTCAACCACCCGGCGCACTACCCCCTCTACGCCAGCTACCTCACTGCACACCCGCCCACCAACACACTCAAGAAGCAGGACGATGCCGAGCGCCTCATGGCGCAGCTCTCGCACTCACACGGCCGTGCGGGCGACGTGGACATGATGGAGGCGTCGGCGGCAGCGGCCCTGCTGATGCTCAGCCGCTCTGCGGTCAAGGCAGAGCCGCGCAAGGCCGAGCTCGTGCTGCTGGCCGAGGTGTGAGAGGGTGGGGGAGACACGCAGGTGCAGTGGACGTGGGAACATGTGGCGGCAGAGTGCACCATATGTGGGTGAGATTGGGTGGTGGGGTGGGGTGGGGTGGGGTGTGTGTGGGTGCGTGAGGTGAGTGGCGCATCTATCGTAATTACACACGTGTGCTTCCCGCACATCCAGCGATATGAATGGGTCTGTCTCGCATTCATGTCTGTCCGTCTGGGTGTCTGTCTGTCTGTTTTGACGCTTTCGCACGTGCTCACGATGAGAATCGCTCTGCAGACACACAAACCGCAGAGAGAGACAGTACGACAGGCAGGCAGACGGAGAGAAAGACATCATTGCAATGAGTAGCAGGGGGACGTCGCATACACCTGCTGACGGCGATGTGTGTGTGTGTGTGTGTGTGACTGTGTGAGTGTGTGTGTGTTTGTCGATGCGGGGCTGGCTGGGGATGAAGGATTACAACTCGATTTGCTCAATCAGAGTCAGTGTGTCTCATGCACAGGCAGGATTCCGATATCAGATCCATCCATCCATCCAGACACACACGCACACACAAGATTCCAACACACATGTCAATGGCTGCCCACAGCAGAGACACTCACCCAGCGCGCCGTTCCTCCCGCTGCGTCGGAGGGAAGGCACCCCGACGCCACCCAAACAGCTCGTGGGTACGACACCACCGACACACACCTGCACACAGGCAATGCAGCCACAGACAGGGGTGTCTCCCTGCATGTGTGTACCGTGCCCCTCCCTCCCTCTCTCCCCTGTCGCCCCACTGCACACGCGCGTCGGCTGCTTGTGTCTGCAGGTAATAATGTCTTCAAGCTGACCAGCCAGCACAGTCAGCTTGAAGACGAAAAGTGTCGAGATCGTGATAGACACGGCGAGGCCATAAGACCCCAAAATTTGGAGTGCCAGCTTCAGCTTCGTGTACATCGATTTATCAGTGGGGTAATTCGCCAGACTCAATTAATGTCGTGTGGCGCTGATATAGGTAATTAGCTAAGTGTTCTCATTCCCATGTCCCCTCCCTGGTCGCATTGGTGTCATGACGTCTCGCTTCGTTCCACACCCTCCCTCCCTCCCATCTTCATGATGGCCCCCCACCACCACACGCACACACACACACACCCTTCCCCCTCCATCCACACCCACACAAAGCAGCCGATCAAATTGCAGCCGATCGTCCGGCCCGCACGCACTCCTGATTCGAGGACGTACGACTGCCTGGCAGACAGCCACACAGTGACACAGTATGACACACATATGGCCACAGGTGCAGTTGTCGATTACAAAGAGACACACACAGAACCAAGAAACAAACTAGCGGCGGGGTGCGATGTTTCCTTCCATCCCACCCCCGCATGCAAATACACACATCCGCACACAGACATACACACATGCAGACGCAACACGCACAAACAAGGGTTGTTTCGCTGCACTGGCTGGCGATGTACGGGTGGGGTGGTGAATGAGACGATAGACACCTCTGGACCGACCAAGACAGAAGAGAAAAAACGGCGACAAGGAGGGATGAATACACAGGCATGTGTGTGTGTTGGGGGG